TTTTGTAAAAGAAGCTGCGATTTTTAATTGCTTGCAGCTCATAACTTATGCAAGATGAAAATTGTCTAAGCTAATTATAAGAAACTTAAGTCCGATCAAAATATCTTTCCTCTTTTAATCATTTTAATCTAGTCGCACGCGTTAGAATGGCATTCTTCGATTCTTCGAATGTCTTCAGTTTTCCATTTTTAACCTAGTTATTTTAATTGAAAATGCATAAAATCCGCAGTCTAGTCGCAACAACGTTCACCGATTCCGATGAAATATTTGGCGTGCAATGTTTTAAGTTACGGCGATCTGTAAAACGCAATGTTTAAATTTTCATTATAAGCTCGGATAAAAAAGTTATAAAATATCATCTATTTTCTGCCAGCTCGAACAACTACAATTTCTGCAAAAATGTTATTACTCGTTGTCTAGTAAATAAATTCGAATCGTTTGGTTAAATTTCCAAAAAGTTAATCTTCAAGTTATTTGAAAAAAAGTATATATCTCTCGCTGCACATGCAAAGTGAAACGTTCGAACATCATTGTCTGAAATTGTGAGTCGATCTCAGGAAATATAATACAAATTAGCACTTGTAGATTAGACTTAATGAATGATTCTTACCAATGAATGTTACGCGTGTTTCCGCGAAACAGGATTAACACACATTATGAACACCGTTGCCTTCGGTTCAACTGAAAATAAGTTATCTAAACAGAACCGACTTTCTCCGCGGCGGCTGAAAGGTTAGTATGATTCATGGATGCGGTGCTTGCCATTTTCATTAGGTAAACTAAGACCTTGAAGAATGCAGTTTGCACGAACTCTGCGGTTCACGTATCCGCGGCTGTTGCAACCGTGGTCAAGAAAAGAAAATCATTTTTCAAAAGGTTCTACGAGAAGGCGAGAGAAACCTTCGAATGAAAATTGTTTTAATCCTTTGCAGTCGAGTGGCGACTCCGTGGCGCCATTAAAAATTGTTACGTCGCGTCTCAAAATAAATTTATTAAACAAGTTTGTTTATATTTAAAGAGCTGTTGAATGCGTTGCATGGCTCACGATAGTCAATTTCATATGCATAAAATGCATTAGGTTATATAAAATAGAAAAACCGTGAGTCGGAATAAAGTTATTTTAAATTTTCCGTTAATTCGGCTTTAGGTGCAAAGGGTTAACATCTATCTTGGATTAACACTAAATTTACAAAACCCGTCAAAATGATGGATCACTAATTTTTTAATTTACGATCGATTCATGTCGTAAATTTATGAGTTATATTCTCATATAATTTATGAGTTATTTATTCAATTTATATGTTACAATAACATTTGTTACAAATCAGAATAAATGCCTTATTGTTACTTTTAGAAACTAATATAAAACAGCTGTTTCCTGTGCTCCGCAAATCTAGTGTTAATATTAAATTTTAACATTGAAAAAAAGAAGGCACTGGTGCAACGAAACTAGGATTGTGAACGTTGAATTTAGGTATCGGGACAAATCTGGAGGGCATTGTTCGATTATTCACATCGAGAAGTCGAGAGATTTAGATTCGTGACAAAAATATTAGCCGCCGGTGATCAAGAGATAAACGCCGTTAGCAATTAAACTAATCATGAGACGCAACGTTTCCGTTTGTATATCTCGCGAGGAAGACATTCGGTCGCGTAACAAAACCAACAGGAAGAACAGTCAATTCAGAGAGACTTTGTTCGTCGCGGTATGACCTTCGGCGATCGAGAAGGCTTGTTTTGCTTTCGAACTGTCTTCGTTCGCGCAATTTGTACAATAACGATGCAATCGCTTGAACGACCGCACATTTTATTGCAGAGCTTGTCATCGGATCTCGATCGCTTGCGCTTTCATCGTCGCACATTTTCCAACACTCAAACATGATTTTTCTGACAATCTTTTCTTTTGGAAATAATTGAATCCTATAAATGGTTTTATTCATAATCGTTTCTCGATATTTTTTGCAAAACTGTCAACTGTCTGCCAAAACTTTTCGTTTCGAAATTGTAATTATTTATTGTACAGAATGGGCCGGAATTCGTAGTACAACCGAGCAGGGAGTGATTCTACGTAGAAAAATGATAAAAAAATTTGGTATAACATCTTTTTTATTCGAGGCTCCGTTTTCGAGAAAATCGACTTTAAAGTTTGTTCATCTCTAGTTGTCTATTCTTCTGCCGCAGGTGCTTCAGTTCAAGATAGTATTTACAAACATTGACAATAATAATGGAAACGTTCCGTTTACTACTGTCCGTTTCTCAGAAGAAGTCCGTCGTTTCGACAAAGGGGCAAGGGGAGAGAAGTATTCCGCTCGCTCCGCCTGACTTGCACGCCCGTAGCCCCACTTTTCTATGCCCTCTCGAAACCCTCTTTTATTGGTAACGAGAAGAACCACAAGCTAATCGAGAGGCATAGAGAAGCAAAGGGGATCGGTCGCCCGCTTCACCTAATCACGTCTCTTGTTCGGCGTGTAACGTAACCAAATTCGTTTTCTTATTTTTTCACGTAGAATCACCCCCTGCTCGATTGTACTACGAATTCCGGCCCGCCTTCTATACGGATGATATAACCCATTAATTACACCAGAGGTATAAATAGACTGTTGTAAAGATAGTGAAAGAGATAAGAGACATACAGTAATTTCTCCCTAATTCGCGCTCAGTGCTAGCTAGGCAGTCGAACAGGCTAGACGTTTATTTCTATCGCTTGCGAGTTGTATACAAAATATGTGGTCCCCAGTGACTTACTAACAGATACGAACGCGTACAAGTGTCAATAATAAGTGTGAAAAACACAAAACAGTGGAGCAGGCTGTAGCGATGAGTGCTCCTGTCTCTGTGTGACAGCAACAGAATGGATATCGAAGCAGAAAGGCCATCAATCCAGTTAAGAATCTCAAAATTGGGAACGCAATTAATCGCTGAGGATATAATTAATGTTACAAAAGATACTACTGAAATGAACTCAGAAATGAATCCAGGTTTGTCTACACACTCGGCACAAGAGCGTACACTAAACAAAGGGAGGAAGATTCTTCCAAGTGAAGATATAACAGATACATTCACACATACATTTACACCATTGCAATCAATAACGTGGTTGCAAGAAAGAATACCGACAAGGAATAAATACAGCGTTCTGACAGTAGACGACACTACACAACAACCGGCACCATGCATACAACTAAAAAACTCCGGGCTTCGACTTAACTAGCGGTAAAGTAATCGAAGAACTTCCAATCAAGACAGTCAGATTTTTATCACAATAATATTCAACGTCATATTCAGATTAAATTATTTCCCAATTACAATATTTTAAATGTAATTTTTCGCGTAAGGAATCTTTGAATTAATGAAAATTTCTCTGATTTTTACTATCATGAGTAGACTGCTGCCGGTCTTTATGGAAGTTTTCATTTCCACACGCCGTTTCGCAACGGTTAAAATGAAGGAAAAATTTCCTTCGTCAACTANCAAATTCGTTTTCTTATTTTTTCACGTAGAATCACCCCCTGCTCGATTGTACTACGAATTCCGGCCCGCCTTCTATACGGATGATATAACCCATTAATTACACCAGAGGTATAAATAGACTGTTGTAAAGATAGTGAAAGAGATAAGAGACATACAGTAATTTCTCCCTAATTCGCGCTCAGTGCTAGCTAGGCAGTCGAACAGGCTAGACGTTTATTTCTATCGCTTGCGAGTTGTATACAAAATATGTGGTCCCCAGTGACTTACTAACAGATACGAACGCGTACAAGTGTCAATAATAAGTGTGAAAAACACAAAACAGTGGAGCAGGCTGTAGCGATGAGTGCTCCTGTCTCTGTGTGACAGCAACAGAATGGATATCGAAGCAGAAAGGCCATCAATCCAGTTAAGAATCTCAAAATTGGGAACGCAATTAATCGCTGAGGATATAATTAATTTTACAAAAGATACTACTGAAATGAACTCAGAAATGAATCCAGGTTTGTCTACACACTCGGCACAAGAGCGTACACTAAACAAAGGGAGGAAGATTCTTCCAAGTGAAGATATAACAGATACATTCACACATACATTTACACCATTGCAATCAATAACGTGGTTGCAAGAAAGAATACCGACAAGGAATAAATACAGCGTTCTGACAGTAGACGACACTACACAACAACCGGCACCATGCATACAACTAAAAAACTCCGGGCTTCGACTTAACTAGCGGTAAAGTAATCGAAGAACTTCCAATCAAGACAGTCAGATTTTTATCACAATAATATTCACAACGCCATATTCAGATTAAATTATTTCCCAATTACAATATTTTAAATGTAATTTTTCGCGTAAGGAATCTCTGAATTAATGAAAATTTCTCTGATTTTTACTATCATGAGTAGACTGCTGCCGGTCTTTATGGAAGTTTTCATTTCCACACGCCGTTTCGCAACGGTTAAAATGAAGGAAAAATTTCCTTCGTCAACTAAACGCAAATGAAAATTCTATTGGATCTCGTTAATTTACATGTTTTGTAAGGTTTGAAATGAAATCTGGAATTTGCATAAAAATCTGCGGTCTAGTGATTGACACATGAACTGCCGCATTGATTATTCTTGTGAAATATTCGAACACTCGAAATACTAGGTCGGTGTAAAAATAATTACAGTAAATTCTCTCTAACTGATGCTCAGATTGTACACAAAGGTGGACAATTTCATTTTTATAGTCGTTGACGATCGGTAACTATAGAAACGAGACGCAAGGCTCGAATAGTTATCGTATCTCCTCTTCCCAAATTGTCCATTTTTGTGCGCAATCTGAGCGCGAATTAGGGAGAAATTACTGTACATAAATTAATAGAAGGTATAAAATATATGTTTGATCAGATTACTTCATGATGATAGCTTGAATAGAAATGCATGGAGTGGCGATCAGAGTTATTATAAAGTTTTATGGGGTTGTATGTGTAGAAATTCGGGACACGAATTGACGAATTAATGAATTCTCAATTTTTCTTACAGATTCAGACAGCGAAAGCAAAGATGGATCGACAACCCAAGAAAAGAAACATGGCCGCGTCTCACAGCCCATCAACACCATCGCCTACGCGGTGAGTAACTAACAATCTGTAACAATAAGACACATCCTCGAGTTTGCAGTAGCTTAACGTTGCCGCACTCGTGCTTCCATCGTGTCAAACAGAGATCAATAGTCGCGAAGACGATTGGGTGTCAAGGAGAACAAGCGTAACCTCTGTTTCAACATGCAAATGTCCATTAGAAATTTATTCATCGCTGATGCACATTGCTACCTATGATCTGCATCTGTTCTCAAAGTAATTCAGCAGAATCTTATTCACGGATTATTCTTTTTGCGTCCGAATGATGCAAATTTAAGTAATTCTCAAACTCAATTGGAATGTATAAGTTTGAATTTGATTTTCTAATTTGGACAGAATTTCTCCATATTAATTTTACAAAATGAGAATGAAGAAAGCGTCACTCAATTTGAATTGTAAGTTTGAATTTGAGCATTTAATTTGATCAGAGTTTTTCCATATCAATTTCACAAAATGAGAATGAAAAGATGCGTCACTCAATTTGAATTATAAGTTTGATTTTAAACGTTTAAGTTGATCAGAATTTTTCCATATTAATTTCATGAAATGAGAATGATGAAACGTGCCGCTCTTCGTCTGAAAATGTTCTACGGTCCGGCAAATGGCAGCGGCTATAGAAAATTCATTCGAGATTTGACGAATGGCAGTGGAAGTATGATGAACTGCTTCGAGCAGTGAATCTCCGCAAAGTGCAGGCAAAGTTCAACCGCGAACGTTCGAAGAAAGTGACGGAACTTATATTCATCGATCTTGGAACGGGCCACCGTGACGCCTTGACGGGATCCCGATGCTTCCCAACGATCCTCCCAGTTCCGAAACTCGCCGAAAAGAGATTTATCGCGCGAACGACGCCAGAAACTGTGCACCGAAAAATGTGTTCGCCGAAACTGGCGAGCCCATGAGTATCTTGTTAACAACCGCGTTTCGCGCTACGAACGTGCATGCAATGGTGGAAGACGTATCACAAATGATTCATCATTGTCAGAGAGACACTCGATCCCGGACCGTTATCGTCGAGCTGCACAAAGCGATACTTGTCGATCATTAATTATACTCGCGCGTTTTCGACAATTCATGCGACCCGAATGCTTCTCCTTTTCCTCCTGTACCTTCGGAAAAATTAAAGTACACTTTCTCTTAATGATAATTGATCTTCCAGACAGGAATCGTGGTTCTTAATCGTTAGATTCGTTACATACACCCGTTAGATTTGGGGCGTTTTCATTAATCCGGGTAAATAGCAGAATCGTGTTCGAATGATTCAGAAGAAACATTCCTGTTTCTACGATTCGATCCGCAGGATTTGCATAGACCTCTGCAGGACTAGTGATCGGTTGCGATTTAAATATCAATTCAAGCATTAGAAAGTACGTGCTTTCAGAGATGCGTTTTACGAGAATAATAATTAATAACAGAAATTACATCCGTCACAAATTGAACAGTTTATTGGACAAATAAAACCATTTGTCAAAAGTATACGCTTGCGTAAACCTTCTGAAATAAAAATTCATTTTTTAATTCGATCGGGAGATTGCATCATAACGAACATCGCGGTGGTCAAAGCGTAAAACGAGTTTGCATAAATGCATAAAATCGGTATTTCTGCAGTTCTCCACGTTTTAAAACAACCGTCGCTGTTTAACGCTACAAGCGTCGCGCATATGCGACGACCACGATATATTCTATATTTCGCGTGCAGAACGTCGAATTAATTTTACGAATATAACTTATTTAAAATTATAACACGTTGCATGATATTTAGAGAATTTATGGCATCCATTTGACGACATTTTCATCATATTTTATAAGAGAAATACGATGTATTTCGTACGACAAATACAATAAACATAATTGTGTGCGCTGAATGACGCTCTGCCGGTAGCGAAAGTGTCAATGATAAAAAAGGTTTTCTTGTATCTCATGAATTGTCACGTGTCACGTACACAGGAAGATCCGCAGTCCGGTCGTTAAGGACGCGTAATTATTTTCGACAGCGGCTACACGAGAGCCGAAAGTTTTGGAAAACTCGCCGGGTATTCGCCGCATGCCAAACTCTCGTTAGGCGACTCGTTTAACTCGAAACTTCTGAACTGGATCCGGAAGACGCGGACACTTACTATGCAACAGGAATTTCGCGGGGTGTGCGAGGGTGGAGACGCGCATCGCTCGAATTCTGGAGCAGAGCAGCGGCGGCGGGTGAAAAACACAAAGCACGAGTGGCCTGACAGGCGGCGATCGATACCGGAAATCGAATGACGCCAATTCGAATACATTTCTCATGCATTTCTCGTGTCTGCCGAAACGAAGAAAAATGCCTGCCGCCTTCGCGCGTTTTCATATTTCCGCCGATACGTTTCGCGATTCCGTCCGTTTTTTCGGCGTCCGCCAAGTCGATCGAACCGTTTAGTCCGCAAAATCGAGTTCTCGTTATTTCCCATTTAACACTGGAAATATCGAACCCGCGACGAAACGACGGATTCCAGATGCTTCGTTTCAAAATTATTCGGATTGTAAAGATCAACCGTTGACTGCTATGCCTATTAAAACTTACGTAACCACTATTAATGGCCGCAGATTATCGCAGACCGGTAATGTTTATTGCGTTATTATTGGCGTGAAAGCGTTCGAATAAAAAATCAAAATTGATCGTTATACTTTGCACACAAATAACATAGAACTCCAAGTTCGATCGAGTAAAAGCAAGTGTATCAGAAACGTTCCTTTTTTTTTACAATTTTACAATTTTTCTTACGATCATATTATCACCGTCGATGAATAGGTAATTAGCGATCTCATTAAATAACGATCTGTGAACGATCATTTGAACAGGCGTTATGACACTATTTTTGGTGCTTTTGGCGCTTGGCAGATCTACTGTGTTAACCTTTTGCACTCGAGACTATTTTACTTCCACAATGAAGACATTTGTTTGAACCTACAGTATTTTCATTTTGTATGATTATTTTTACTTGATACATGTGGGATTCTCTGTCGCGAGTCTTCCGAACGGATATCTTGATTAAAGAATCGCCTAATCTAATATTTTAAAGAAAGAAATACAGGGTGTCCCAAAAATGTCTCGCAATCCGAAAATGGGGGGTTCCTGAGATCATTCGAAGTAACTTTTTCCTTAGCGAAACTGCAATCCGCGGCTTCGTTTACGAGCTACTAACGAAAAACGATGACCAATGAGAGACGAGTTCGGCTAGCGCGAGACGGCCGAGCCAATCAGCAGAATTGGGCTTCGGCCGCCCGTTGACTCGGCTGCTCATTGGCTCAGCCGCTCGTTGGCTCAGCTATCTCGCGCCCTGCCGAGCTCGCCTCTCATTGGTCACTGTTTTTCGTTAATAACACGTAAACAAAGCCGCGGATTGCATTTCCGCTAAGGAAAAAGTTACTTCAAATGACCTCAGGAATCACCCCATTTCCGGGAGTTAACATAATTATAGGACATCCTGTATATACATGTATATAAAAATATATAATACTCTCATTTCCCGAAAATACCATAATTTTGGGACACCCTGTATGTTCTAGTACAAAGTTCGATGTATAATTCTTTGAAGCTGGACGCTGACTACCTTCGCCCTTCTTCCTCCTTTATTCTCTCGCTCGAGACGCTACCCCGCTTTGTTCAGCACACACGCACTTGCAACACACACATACACGCGCGCGCGCGCACACAACCTCTCTCTCCACACGCATTCTTAACGCGCACGCAATTCGCACACTACATACATACATATAAAATTTATGCTGATGACATTTATGCCTTTGACAATTTATCGGATACAGACAAATTGAATAATGTGAAAATTGTTTTAAAGATAGTGTAGCAATTTTTAGCGTCACCTCGGAATCGCCAGTCCAGTGCAAAGTTAACATTTCTTTACATTGAACTCCGTAGTTTGCTATTTTAGAGTTCGATTATGCCATCTATTTCGTGATCTATTTCCATATAAATTCCCTCTATAACTAGAAGATATTCATGATTCTGATTCGATTTAAATCGGGTTAAATTTAATTTTATCGGATTTAATTCGAGTTAACTCGGGCCAGTTTTGTAATTATTAATAAAAGAAAAAAAAGATATTCGCGTCGGTGAAGTGGTACTTGAACGTTGAACGGGTCATATAAAGTTAGACCGGTGGAGTAGATATGATGTAATTCTGAATGAAGGTGTCAAAATGGTTTGGCGAGTTTCAGATGCAATCGTGTCAGTCGGTAAGGAGATGGGAAAGCGTTAATTAGACGTATGATGCAATTAGAACGTGGAGAGAATCGCTTTGATTACAAATGAAGTGCTTCGGAATAACTGAATGGAGAACCGAAGAAATTAGAACATGCGAGAAATAAAAAATTGCGATAGTAGAGCATCATCGTGTTCGATGTTCGAGAAGACGATTTTATCGTGTTACGAATTTATTAGGACAAACATTAATTTCCTTTGAATTTTTCAATTTTTCGCAATTCATGACAACGATGGATCAATAAAATCGCAAATCTGCGAAGACACAAAATCGTTAAAAAAAATATTGATATATCTACGGTTTTAAGGAAAAACATTTAAAGTTACGTACTTTTCGGGAAAAATAATCATGAAAACAAATCTGTTATCCACAAAAAGCTAATTCCATTTAAAATGCCACTAGTAAGAAGAATTAGTGATCAGAACTTTAAACGAAACATTATCTTAAAAGTAAAAACATGCAACATGCAGCGTTCTTGCTAAAAGAAGTTGCAGATATTAGGTCTACCGGAAAGTTCTGTCCGTTTTTGAATTGAAATATAACACAAAATTTTCATACATTTAATAATATTTATTGTAGAATATACTTTCCATCGTTACTTANAAAAACACAAAGCACGAGTGGCCTGACAGGCGGCGATCGATACCGGAAATCGAATGACGCCAATTCGAATACATTTCTCATGCATTTCTCGTGTCTGCCGAAACGAAGAAAAATGCCTGCCGCCTTCGCGCGTTTTCA